CACAGCTCAGATTTGCCCCTGGGCCCCCCGCTGGATTCATCTAACCCCCTGAATCCATGAAAAAAATACAAACACATTGAGGGAAAAAAACAGGGCAGGGTTTGGATGTTGACAGTTGATAGCCAGCAGGTTATCTCATGCTTAGAGAGCAAATGCATAATGCAAAGCACGGAACAATATTGTTTTTTAATATTTCTTATTTGGGGGGAGGGGGGTTAACCTATTTTTTAAAATGCCCTCATATATATATATTTTTTAATGTGTACTCAAAATGTCATAACAGTGATTTGTACCTAAAGTAAAAGATTTGGAACATTATTTGGTCACAAGTTCTCCAAACGCTTAGTAAACAAGCAGATGTGTGTAGAGCTGGGCACTGAGCCGTACACAAACCAAATCAACGACAGAGTGAGCTGTTACAACTGTGTGGAGCAAAGAAAGAAAACTGAAGGAAAAGATGTTTACTGTGTTTTCCCGTTGAAAAAAAAATGAAAGAAGCATCTTATCGAGCGACGTCCCTGCATGACTTGGCAGAATGTGAGAGAAGCTGTCAGTCAGCCAGGTGTGTACTGAGAGAGCCTCTATGGGGGGGCCGCAGTGAGGACACAGGTAGAGCACAGGGAGCCCCTTAAGTGTCTTATTCAAGGTGGAGTGAGAATGGAGGAAGAGGAGGAGAGGAGGAGAGAGGATGAGGGTGATGTTATCACTTCCATCTCCTCCTGCGTGTTGCTGTTAAAGGGAGTCGCTGAAAACAGATGACCTACATTTTCTTTGAGACAGACTCCTGCAGCGAGGCCTCCCCGGATTCAGAAGAAGACACAGTGAAGTATGGAGAGGCACTGAAAAAAAAACAGAGTCTGAAGAGGGAGGAGGTTTAGATAGACAGAAACAGACACTCTTCCAGTTTGACAAGGCAGACTTGAAAAGGTAAGAGACGCAGGCAGACAAAAGGGAAAGTAGGAAAGTTTTGACAGTAATCCTCTTCGACTCTGCCTTCCTTCCCTCTCCAGTGGTTATATAAAACACATCTAGAATTCTGTTCGGTGCACATCAAAGAGCCTGAACCGCTTTGCAATCTGCATATATGATGCGTCCAGGGAACAGCAGCAGGGGAGTGTGTGTATGTATGTGTGTGTGTGTGTGTGTGTGTGTGTGTGTGTACAGGAGGGATGTTTGAGTCAAAATGAAGCTTCTTTGGAGAGTCTTCAGATTACTTTGTGTTTAGATGAGCCACATAGATCGAAGAAGACTTCAAACAACATTTAGCTCATGTGGATGTGAAAGTAGAGATGTAATCATTAAAAAAACAAAGAGCTATTTAGTTCAATTGACGTCGAACTGAACACATTTTTAAGGTAGAACAGCTGAGAGATGCTTTGTAATGTGTCAGTGTGACCTGAGGTCAAATAGAAGTAAGAGAAAATCTGCTCCTGACTCAGAAGTGTGGCTGCTGTCATTGAAATAATGTGGCTTCAAATAGAGTCATCTCACTGAAGATGAAGGCTTCATAAGACAAGGTTTGCCGTTTCACTTCCGCCACCTAGTGGTGACAAGAGTGCACAAAAAAAGAGGAGGCTGCTTTTTATATTTATATGATGATATTGAATCAAAGCCTTCATTTTCTCAATATATGTATGGAGCATATTCTGGACAGTAAGATGTAGATTAGATGTACTTTGTGTGTATGTTCATGTCTTTAGCAGGCCTTAAAGTCAGCTTCACTGACAGCTGGAAGATCAGATTCCTCATCATAAAGTTGCTTTTAAATTTTGCATTTAAAAAGGACTTAAACAAATGATCACATTTGCAAGGTCACAAGGTTTGATAGAACATTTAATAAGATGTCATGATTTGATTCAGACAGATTTACATTAACATATATGACATAGGCCTATATAAAACAATAAAACAAAAATACTAGCTTCTATGAGAAAAGTGGAAAACAGCCCTCACCCCCCATCCCCCCCAAAAAAACAATTAACTGTTTAAAAATCCATGAGGTTTAAACTCCAATAGTTTAGCTATCACTTATAATGAATTGAGAAGCAGAGGATGCAAAAAAAGCAAACCTACTTTTATTTCAAGTTTTTTTTAATGACTCCTGAACATGAAGATTTGTTAGTCAAAGAAATTGTGTTGGGACAAGTTGTGATGTCACAAATCCCTCTTATATAAATGTCTTAGACTGAGATTTAATGTGATCAAAGACGACGTTTCTCTTCAGCAGATGAGCATCACAAACATCTGAGAGAGCAGTGACTCACAGTGAAACACTTATTTGATGGTTTAAGGGGAGCTTTAATGTCGATGTTCTGCAGGTGAAGCAGGAGAAACCAGGCAGGTGTGATAAGAGTCCCTTGCACCAAACACCAACATTTCAACAATTCATGCGATTTCTTGTTGGCAGTTGAATTTTAAAGCTGGGGGGGGTAAAAATAAAATTTTTAACATATATTTGTGTAAGTGGTTTAGGAACTTCTAAAGGCTGGGCCCTAAAAAACATGTTCAGAAGGGTTGTGGGTGTTTAGAGAAATCATGTCTCGTTGAATAGTTTTAATACAAAAAATTATCTTTTTCATTCAGGACGAACAAACCAACAAGTAGTTTCATGTTCAACAGCCTACACAAGGACAAATGTAAAAAATGCCACTCAGCTTGTTTGAGATGCTGTGTGACAGATTACAATTTGCGGTAAAAAAAAGTAAACAAACAAACTGTGGGAAATGAAGCTGATCACATAACTTGTGACTTTGAACTCATTCACAGTGCACGACACTGAGGCAGAACTATCTATCACGTGTGCCATTAATATAAAAATAAAAAAAACATGTGTACACCACAAAATAAAGTTAAAATGTGTGAACACAAAAATCGTCTATTTCGCAAAAGGTCAACAAGTTCACGTAATTTTCATTCATTCAGGATGGTGTGAGAGATACAAAACCAGAGCAACCAGTCCAGCTGCCACATAGTCTTAGTGCAGAGGTGTGAGAAACCGTTTAGGTCACATGATCTCATTCAAAAATGACAGATTTTCACAAAATGAAACTTTCATGCACTACCTGCCAACGGTCACAAAGTAATGGAACTCCTACTCTATGATGTCATTTTGAATAAAGATACATCTCTTTTAAGATTGTCATCTTTGTCATAAAGCATATTACACCCATTCTTGACAAGGCACTCTTTAAAACGAGGGTCTGTCCTTTATAACCAGTAACTTTATTTATGGATAAGTAATCATTTGAAAAGCTTGTAAGGATCCGTTATAATATCAGATTATAACAGGATCAACTTTAAGGTTGCAAAATATCGCTTCAGCAAGTGTAACATCTTTCTGGTGATAATAGTACAGTCGATAAAATCTTTAAAAGAGAGGCTTTTATAAGTGGAGTTTGGTCGATATGTTCTGCAACTGTTTTACAGGCATTGAGGTCATTTATAAGGCTTCAGTTACAACATATGAACTCTTTATAAAGGCGGACTTATTAATGGGAGGCACTGAAGGGACAAACTAGATATTAGTAGCTCTTTCTATCTATGCTAATATTCTGCAAATATTTTATATTTTAAAAGAGCTACAACAATAAATGTATTAGTTTTCATGAATCATATAACTATTTATTAATGCAGAATCATTTTGAGTTTGAGATTTTTTTAAATGACATTATTCTAATGGCAGCTTCTTGAATGTAAATATGTTCTTTCATTACTGCTGTACGACAGATAAAACAAATATATTTCAGCTTGAATAAAACTTAGGAGTCTTGTTCTTGGAGAATCAACACTTTTTCTTTTTTAACTTTTTTTTAAACATTTCTGGTATTTTGTAAAAACTAAATCACCTTTTCATGAAGAAAATGAAAATGACAGATTTATTGAAAATACAAAGAAGCTGTAGCCTCCAACTATCTTCGACAGAATCTAAGCTACTGACTTAAAGGCTTTCTATGTGATTTTTTGATCCAGTAGATGTCGCCCTTGAGCACCAGCATGAAACCAAAACAACTTGCGCTGCATTGTTGTGTTAGCATGCTAATGCTAGTGATCTTTATTATGCTCGTATCTTCACACTGCATGTAAATTTACCTGAAATGAGTGTGATCTAGAAACGCAGTTAAGCAGTGAGTACAGTATGTTATTCTTCTTTTCTCTAGTCCCTCAATTAAACAACTTTTATACGTGAGGGGAGGAGTCAGCCGGCCGTCCCGACGATGTAAACAAAATGAAGATAGGACTCTGAAAACTCTGAAAACATCACAGACAGTGGGACTCGGGTGTTACACCCATTGTAGACAGTCATGACTCACAGAGTTATTTTCAGAGGATATACTTGATTTATATTATATTTAAGTGTGAAATATAAAGCATATAATGTACTGTAAAGGTACTTACCTGATTTGCTTAAAGTAAGATGTCCATCAATGTGTAATGGTTGACTAAATGTGAAGCTAAAATCTGCAGCAGATTAGCTCAGTTTAGCTGAAAAATAGCTAGCTAGCCTAGCTATCGCAACAAACGTATCATTTCTCGACCAAAAAAAAGTGTTTGAGTAATAAAATGTTATTTAACGTAATCTTTTTTTCAACATGGGAAATAACTTCAACATCTCTATGTCCTTATAAGACAACTCATTTAGCATTTGATAAAGCATGCTAGCGTTTCCCTCAGTTTACAGTCTGTGTGCTTAGCTAAGCCAAACGGTTCTAGCCGGATCTTCATATTAACCGTACAGACCTGAGAGAAGTCAAGAGCTTCTCTCATTTCAGAGCAAAACTCTAAAAGTTATCAATAAAGACTTTCCAGAAACACTGGATTATTACCATGTTCCTTCAGTGCCTTGTTTTAAGGTGGATTGTTTTTCCCTTCTCAAGTGTGTGGAACAGTTCTTTCAGAAACAAAGAGGCAATTAGCGTATCAAGTGCAACCCAAAGTCTCTTTCCCTCCTGAACAGATTGTGGACTGTTATGATGTACCAGAACAAACATGTCACCACTACATCCGCAGTATCAAAGCCTTTATTCTTGTCTTTGCCTATTTCCTGATCCCACTTCCCCTTTAAATAATGTCTTTCATTCAAATAAATGACAACAACAAACGAGGACTTGGTTAAAAGTAATTAATTACACTAAGTTTGAATCAAGACTCGCTCACACCATGAGGGTCTTGGCGCTCACACCATGAGGGTCTTGGTGCTCACATATTTGCCTTTGGGCTTGTGTCCGATGCTGGAGACTTTCCTGCTGGTGCTGCTCCTCAGCGACCCCGCCTTCAGCTTCACACTGTTGGGCAAACGCGCAGACATTGCCTTCCCTTGTGGTTTCTCGTCTGCCCCCGCTTCACAAAGCTTTGAGTTTTGTTGGTGCTCACAAACATAGTAGCGCTCCCGGTCATGGGCTGGATGGTTTGAGCAGAACCACTTCATGGAGCCATAGAGGAGCTCTGCACAGCTGGAAATCGCTGCTATCACCCCAACAACGAAGTAGAAGCAGAGGAAGACAGTTTTCTCTGCGGGGCGGGAGGTGAAGCAGTCCACCGTGTAGGGGCAGGGGAAGCGGTTGCAGGGGAACTGGGCCTCCACCTTGAAGCCGTACAGATACCACTGCCCAACTAGAAACCCAACTTCGGCCAGTATTCTGAAGGCCACATTGACGACGTAAAACCTCCTGAAATGAAGGTCTTCTCTGGAGTCGCTGCTGTCACTCTGATGGACTTTAGACGTGTTTTTCCTCTTGTTGTCGTGATGCATGGCGTACATGAGGAACAATAGAGACGGCGTGGCGATCAGGACGATGTGAAACACCCAAAACCTATACTGGGAGATGGGGAAAGCCATGTCATAGCACACCTGTTTGCAGCCCGGCTGGAGGGTGTTGCAGGCAAACTCTTCTTGCTCGTCCTCAAACAGGTCGCTGGCTACAGTTCCCAGGATTAAAATCCGAAAAACAAGCATGATCAAGAGCCAGAAACGGCCAAGCATGGGGGAGTGGGCCTGCAGGCTGTCAAAGAGCCCCCCGAGGAAGCCCCATTCACCCATGATTGAACGTTGGGAGGTTTATCCACCTGTCCGTCTCAGAGCAAGAGCTGTCTTTGGTTAGAAATGTGTCTTATGATCTCCAACTCATGACAGATCAATCTACATGTCAGAGGCTGGTCCAGGGTCCAATGATCTGAAATCAGATAATAAAAACTGGATTGTAAAATCATCAACAAAACATTTGCAACTTCGAGATGTTGAAAGGAAAACTTTGCACAGCTCTTACATTGCACCTTTTGTACATTTTGTTTTTTATATTTAACATTTTTAAATTCTACTTAATATATTGTAATATCTTCTTATACTGTATTATTTAAGTTGTTGCTAGTTCTGCTTTATTTCCTTGTTAATTGTTTAGCATCAATACACCAAGTCAAATTCCTTCTATGTGTAAATGTACTTGGCAATAAACCCTGATTCTGATTCTGATTCTGATTCTGAAATGCCAACCTGTACATTTGAATGTGTCACCACAGCTGTCTCTCACTGGCAGCAGCTTCAGGTTAAAATCTGACTAAAGATCTTGAGTTTTTAAAGTTTCTGTACTTTTTAAAACAGAAGGCATCCAAAAAATTGAGAATATACAGTAGCCTATATAACCAACATTTAAGAGATTACATAAAAGGGATTGTAAGAAAAACAAACAATTGAAGAATTACACAATGGGGAGAAAAAAATGCTTTGAAGCCAAGTCATTTCTAGGTTCATTTCTAGGTTTTTCCAAGAACTTTTCACATTCTGAGAAATACATTTAGGCATATATATATATATATATATATATATATGTGCCACTTGCAAATTATTCTCCACACATGTAACTTTAATTCAAAAGCATGACACTCATGAAAACTGATTCACCTAGTCCTAAGCTTTTTTACTCGTGGAAGTATACTGACCCGCTGGTTGAACTTGTCACTCAGATTCAGCATTTCAAACAAGCTAGTTGCAACAGAACAGGTTGAGCTTGAGAGATTTCATTTACCTGATGCAGAGACGTGCACAGGAGCTGTTCTCCTAAAGCCTTAAAAAATGCCCTATCCCCTCTCAGGTACTTCCGAAGAAAAATTTAAACTGAGTGTGTCCACACCAGTTTATGATCCTCTCACTCTGTTGGTCTGAGTGGTTTGGGGTTGAAGTTTGCCGTTACTTATAATTGAAAGGGCGGCACCAGTTTCAGGAAGTTCCTGTGGCGTCCTAATCTGCAGCCATCAAGAGTCCCAGACACGAGAGATGTTTACCCGAGAGGCAAACTCTTGATGAGCATTTCAAGGAACTTCCTGTACCACCAGTTAACCCGCTCAAAAGGGACAATGAGAGCATGCATAGAGCAACCTCTGTCCCAGTGACTCAATCAGTTAATCTTTACAATACATACTTTTATTGACCTTGGAAGTCTTCTGCTGGCTGGCACTAAAACTCTGATTACCCCACTATAACATTGAGTTCATATTTATGAAAAATTTATTTCACCTCTCCATTTATGTCTCCAGACAACCCTTAGTGTCTCTTCCACACGTGCTGCTGATGCTCCGCCCACTCCGTCACATTATGAATATATATATATATATATATATATATATAATATTCTCACATTATGAATATTCTGAGAGAACTTCCAAAATGAGTCAAAACCATCGACAGATTTTACGAGCCCTAATAGAAGCAAAACATGAAACTGAAAGCACATTTTACAGTGAATGCAAACAAGTTAGCTTTATTTCCAACAACAAAAAAAGAACAGCCATTGAAATATGTACAGGACAAGACAAAACACATACAGGAAAATGGATTAGAAAAGGTGGTAAAAGTAGATCTCCAGAAAGGTAACATGAGGTCCAAGCAGTCAATAAATCAGAACATTTCTGTCTCTTCTGCCCTTGGACAGGACAGGGACTTTTTCTGGGATCAATGAATCACAACGAGGTCTATATAAGACACAACTTCTTCTAGAGAAAAAAGCAAAGCTAATGTTAACAGACGGCACTAACTATGTGTAGCTTCTTAAAGAATTGGTACTTAATACAAAATAGGTAGAAAACTATCGCATAAATGAATTTACTGAAATTTAAAAGTCGGAGTCGGAGTCCAAGTCCACGTTGTAGGTCACAGGTTTGCGGCCACGTGTGGGCTTATCACACGGTGCCACGGCAACAGGAGCTTCTGCTTCCAGGTCTGAAACATCGAAGCTGTCATCGTCCCACCTCTTAGTTTTCTACAAGAACAGAGAATAAATAAGTTGAACAAAAAAAAAACCTTTATAGTGATTCATGTTTAATTAGAGAGATCAATCAATCAATTTTTATTTGTATAGCGTCAACTCATAACAAGTGTTATCTGGAGACACTTTACAAAAAGCAGGTAAAAGACCTTATTTATTGTTATGTTCCAAAAAGCAGGTAAAAGACCTTACTTATTGTTATGTTACAAAAAGCAGGTAAAAGACCTTACTTATTGTTATGTTACAAAAAGCAGGTAAAAGACCTTACTCATTGTTATGTTACAAAAAGCAGGTAAAAGACCTTACTTATTGCTATATTACAAAGACCGGCCTATCCATCATGAGCACTTTAGCAAAGCAGCAAAAGTTACAGTGGTAAGAAAAAACTGTCTTATTAAAAGGTAGAAATCTTCGGCTGGATCCCCGGCTCATGATGAAACAGCCTTCACAGGACTAGACTGCACCAGGCTTGGAAAGGGATAGGGGGAGAGATGGGATAAAATGCATGTCTGAAATCATTGTCAAAACAGACCTTGCCAGCTGCAGTTGTTTTGGCCTTTAGGCGAGACATGAGGTCGTCGGAGCTGCTGTCGGAGTCGTCACTGACGTTTTGTTTGCGTTTGAGGGCGGGCTTTGTCTTTGTTACTTTGATTTCCTCCTCCGAGTCGCTGGAGCCAAATGACGGTATCTTCTTTGTGGATGTGTTGGAAGAAGGTTTGGGCTTTGACAGAGCATCCAGGATGGATGGCTGCTTCACATCTATGAGAAATGATCAGGAAACAACAGTAGTTATGCAGAGAATAGGCTGGATGCTGTGATTGATGTAGTACAATTATTGTTACATTTTAACTGAAGTCATTGGTACTTCTTAATCTGAGCAACACAACTCTCACTGCTCTCACTCCCTCATACGCAGGAGGAGTCATTACCTGCAGCCTTCTTCTTGGATGCAGCTGGTTTCTTGCAGCGGGAGCTTTCTTGGGTGCAGTCTCTTTGGTTTTACGTTGAACTGGAGCCTTGGGTGCAGGCTCATCCGACTGAGCTGCGGATTAAAACAAATAGAAAAAAGTTCCACATTAGAAATTAGACTAACATTTTCCAAAGCTCATGATAAGACAGTACCAAGAAAAAAAAAAAAACTTACAGCTTGACTTGGTTTCAGATTTTTTTACTGCCGATTTACTTTTCGTAACCTTTTTCCTGCAAAGAAGGGATACACGATCAGTTTAGAGGTAAATATGAAGCTGACTGAAAAAAAGAAAGAAAAAAAAAGTTTGATGTAAAAGCAGCCTGAGGCCGTGTTCACACTGGACTTCAGCCCCTTTGGAGCGCGTATGTGCGAGTGTTCTGTAACCTTGACAACGGGATCTAGCCTACGGTGCAACCGTGCCGGTGCTGGCCGGAGAACCACGCATCAATTTAGCACAGAAAAGAACATACGGGACTGAAAGTCAGACACCGATACAACATTAAAACATCCGGTTTATTTTCAGAATAACACCCTCCGTTTTGACGGTCCAGAAAAACGACTGTTTGTGTGTTTGTTTATGTGTTTATAAGGTTTTTATTGAGTTTTATACCACGAACATCGTATTATCTCGTGCTGTCGCGAGTGAATCTGTTAAATTACTGCGGAAATTCCTGTGTCTCCGTACTCCAGCTGTGCTCTCCGTGCTGCGGATGCACGGACCCGTAACAGACCGGAGCGGACACGCAAATGCACCCATATCTGGTGGAAGTTCACCGTTTTTGAGTGCATGACATCTTTTTGGGCACAGGTAACTATGGACATTGGTTACTACTCGTCCTGATTGGTCAGCTGTCAGAAAGGCGCTTGACGTCACCCAGCGCTTTTCTGAAAAGTTGAAATAATTCAACTGAAAAAGGCGTCGGGCGCAGCGCTTTTTGAAAAGGCGTCATACTTTTTCATTTTTCCATAGGCTTGTATGTAAAAAAGGCGCTGGCAGTTGAAAAAAGAAGTCAAGTGTGAACACGGCCTTATGCAATAAATGTAATACTCACGCGGGTTCTGTTTTTTTTGGAGGTGGGGCAGGAGAGTCCACATCACTGTCAGCCATGGGCTGGGGTCTGGAGAGAAGTCGTCATCATCACTGGTTACAACGTTCCGTTTCGGAGCTTTAGTCTTCACCAAGTCATCAAATTCATCCTCACTGCCAGACAGGCTGTACTTCACCGCAGCTTAACAAAAGGAAATAAAGAAACAAGAATGTTTAAGTGGAGTTCTCCTGAAATACATGATAAGTAATCAAACAGCTTAATTGGCATAATGGAGCTAATTAGCCTCAGGAAATGAGCTGTACGAGTGCCGTTATTACATCATCACAAACTTTTCTGGATAGATAACATCTTGTTTAGCAGTTTGAAGAGTTTTAAAACAGTGTCTCTTAGTGTAAGCAAACAGTCAAATCAGAGGATCAAATCAGATAGCACAGAAGTAATATGGATTCAGAGAGTTGTCGGGGACATCTTCGGGCATACCTTTAGATTTGCGATCAACCCGCACTCTAGGGGCGACCACTTCTTCTGTCTGCAGTTCACTGTCTGACATAACGTCCATCTGGTCATCATCAGACCACGGATTTTTCTTGATAACAGGCTTGAACTGCAGAGTGCTCTGCCTGTTTGTCTTTGAAGCTGCTGCAGAGGAGCAAGTTAAAGAGATCTTTATCAAAAACGAAGCATTCTTACAGAAGTTTTAGAGGCACGGGGTGCAATCTGTAATAATCCATCGACATTAATAATGATGGCCACGTTTATTGGGAATGCTATGTGCTAAAAGGATTATTATAAAAAAAAACTTTACAGCTAGCTAAAATGGACAAACAACCTCACTCCCTTCCTGCGTCATTGCAGTCTGTTAATTATCTACACACCTAGCAGTAGGGTGGAATTATCCCCGTCTTAAAAGAAACTTTATCTTTTTTTGCTAGCTCAAGCACTTTTACAAGTCAAAGACGCAGATTCTTATCTGACATGCTGGGATGATCTTATTCCTGCTAGGTATAATTAACAGTTACACAATCTCAACTAATCTCTGAATCACCATGTCCTCATGTAACAGGGGGTGGTTAGCTTTTTAACTTCTGCTTTCTCAATGCACTGAGGGTTATGAAGAAGATTCATTTGCAGATGATTTTCTAGGGTCATTGTTAGAAATAACTACATGTTCATTTTTTTCAGACTTTGATAAGGACAATTTGTTTTTCACACAGAGTTCCATTTGTTGGTACAGCTGTCACTCTCACCTTTTTCCTTTGCCTGAGTTTTAGTCTTCTTGCTGAGTCGTGCAGCCAAACCGATCTTCTCAGTCGGCACAGCGTTCTCTTCATTCTCGGCATTGTCTTCAAACTCCATCTTCATCACCACATCTTTACTCTGTGATTACAGTAAGAGGTTAGGCGTACTGTAATGTTATCTACTGGAGTACATACAAGAACTTCAACCAACAAATCAGTTATTGAAAGCAATTTGTACTAATTTTAAAGAGCACACCTTGAGTCTCTTGCCTCCTCCTTTCTTCAGTTCAGCTTTCTTGTTAGCTTCAGCTTTCATAATGCTGGTGATGCGTGGGACAACACGCCGACCATGCGGCGTTGGCAGAGTCTCGTTCTTCACCTTCACCGCCCTTCCTTTTCCTTTTCCACTCACCACTTTTGTAACAGGCATGTTGTCAATATCCTTTTCTTTTTGCTCCAACCTCTGAAGACAGGGAGGAAACGTTTCACAGGAATATTCAGGAGGGAATACAATTTAGAGACAACTAACTGGATGCAAACAGAGGGTTGGATTGTCATGTAGGCAGGTGACACTGCACATTATTATATAATAACCAAGGAACACTATGGACTGGATTTAGAGAGTAAATAAATGCAGGCAGAAAGAGGCAGTACCTCCAGTTCCTCAGAGAAAGCAGCAAGGTCCTCCTTCCACAGGTCTGCTGGGGTCTTCTGCTTCAGGGTGTTCAGCTCCGTCATCTACAGATCAGATATCATTTAAAAAGAAAACAAAGAGAGAGAGTCTATTTTCAATGTCATTGTTAAAGTTGGAACCATATTTCAGAATATATACAATAATGGCAGAATATCACACCTTAGCATCCCTCTGTTTGCAAAGCTCCTCCTTCTTCTCTTTGGTGAGGAACCACATGGGCATGCTCAGCAGGTAGTTGTAGTCTGGCCCGCTGGTGTCCTCCTGCCCTGCTTCTTCTTCGTCATTGTCTATCTCCTCAACATGCTAAGAACATGAATACAAAAACATATTATTTCCTTAGATGAAGGCCCTTAATTAGTATTACTCATTATTGAAGCGATAAAAAAACACTTAGGCAACAATTACACGATAACAATCCTCTGAAAAACTGAATAATTTCTCATGTTCTTTTTAAATAAAATGTATTGCGTTTAGACAACAACATCTGCAAAAACAACTAAAATTATGGTGGTATACATCCCAAGCCAGAGGTTGGCGTTTGTTTGTAATGAAAGATGACATGCATGTGCACTCCTTATCAATTCTGACATGATCGTGACATGTCTGTCACTTCGTAGTGCGTAACAATAAAAATCTATCTTTTTCTTTTTTTTAAAACCCACCTCGGGGCCAACATTTTCTCCAAGTTTATAAAATTAATGAATTGGAAAGTATAAATGTAGCCTAATTCTATTGTTGCAAAGTACTAAATAGTACATTATTACACAGTATTAATAGCTTATCAACGATACGATATTGAGGAGGTCCTTGGAAAAATTTCTCACCTGAAAGGGGTCCATGGTCTAAAAAAGTTTGAGAACCCCTGGTGTGAAGGACCAGCCAAAGCAAAAGGTAATCGTTTTGGCTAAAATCTTTGTTGTGGCCTTAGTTTGAAGTGATTTACCTTCTCTTGAGCCTGTTTCCAAGATTTGACTGGATCGGAGTCGTAGCCCATCTCCTGCAGCATGCGGATCAGTTCCTTCTTCGCCTTGTTCTCTACAAGTGGATCGAAAGCATTAGAACTTATGGTGGAAAATCAAGACACTTTCTAGATTCCCTTAGATATGAAAGAAATGATAATCAAAGGGTGATCATCATTATAAACCTTTTTAAACATTTGAGAGGTGTTCTGAATAATAAGTCATAAAAAACCTTGGTTAGTTGTAATGTACATGTTCAAATGTGTTATAGCTTTATGCAGCAAAACATGTTAACAAGCTACTAACCGATAACCAAGGTGCCCTCGATTTTCTCCAGGATGAAGCGGGCCTGGTTGCTGAGTTTTGCATTCTCAGCTCCCAGCATGCCCGCCAGCCAGTCCTTCCTCAGCACATAGTACTTCAGCCTCAACTCAAAGAAGATCTTGAGGATATCCTGCACAGACTCAAATTTGTTCAGGCTGCCCACATGGTCGAACAGAACCTAAAAAGAAAAGAAAAACATAGTAAGTACTGGAGAAACGCTTTCTGAAATGCTGTTTTTTTGGTATTGCAGTATTTACCATCGAGTTACAGGTGAGCATGGTCTGAAGTTTGAAAACTTTATGGAGACCTGCAGCCTCGGCCTCCATCAGCTTCTCCTCTGACATCTTGACCACAAAGCGAACAGTGGTATCGGTATGGTACTCCTTGTAGTCTGTGATCAGAGCGGGGACTTTGTCTGTGCCGTTCAACATCGGCTCCAGCACATTCTCCTTGTAGGCCTACAAAAAAGACAATAATGTGGAGAGTACTTTAAATATTTATATATATAAATATATATTATTACTCCAATCATATCTAGAGAAAGGAGCAAGGAAGAGGATGGACAAAGCAGTTATAGACTGACCTGTGTCCAGGATTTGACAGGCAACTCAGAGATCTCGATTGTTGTGGAATCGATTATAGACACCTCTCCACTGATCAAATTCTGGTTGTCCACCAGCTGCTCAATTGTACCTTTGAAGCCCTTGTAGCTTGGAAGCTATGGTAGAAAAAAAACACATTACATGAATACTAGAAGACAAAAAAGTCTCAGAGACTTAAAACAGTTATTTCCTTCCTCACCATGGGCAGAGGCTCTTCTCCATTTAGCATGCGGTGAATGTTGTTTACGATCTCCCGGATGTTGAAGTTGGGGACCTTGCTGGCCCAGCCTGTTCCGATTCCTTCAGCACCGTTCACCAGCACCATGGGGATGATGGGCAAGTACCACTCAGGCTCTACACGCTGGTTGTCGTCATAGTTGTACTTGAGCAAGTTGTCATCCAATGATGGAAAAACAAGGCGAGCAAGGGGGCTGGAAGAACGAAACATTGAGATTTTTTTTTTTTAGTTCAATGGCAGCATAAACCACAAAATGACCTGCTTTATTTATTTTGTCAAACTGCATCCAGGAAGCATCTGGTTGTTTGAGTCAGTGATCAGGCTGCTGACCTGAGCATGGTGAAGATGTATCGAGGGCTGGCCGAGTCCTTGCCACCGTGCAGCCTGGTTCCAAACTGACCCATAGGCTGCAGCAGATTCAAGTTGTTGCTACCCACAAAGTTCTGGGCCAAACCAACAATGGTCATCATCAGAGAGACCTGAAGAAGGAAAGGAGATGGCAGGATTAAATTATCAGTATTAGAATTACAAAATGTTACGTATCAGCACTGTAAAAATATAACTAACACTTCTCACAGGTAGCATTAGCTATGTTTCCTATCAGAGGCTGCTTTGTATTTTTGGAATTCCTAGAATACAATATAATTTTTTTTTTTTTTTTACCAGAAAAACATTGTAAATCTGACCAGATCTTGCAACCAATTTCAAAGAGGGCAGAATTTGAAAACATGTTTGGAAATGTGTATTAGCATCAAACCTCTCCATGGTGGTAGGCGGACATCTCAGCCACAGAGCCGGCCAGCTGGGCAACCTTCACCTCCCGCTTGTCGTTCCTCTTAAAGCAGCACATCAGAACCTTCCTCTGGCCTGGTTTCAGACCTAACACACACAAACACAGGCACACATCAGACCACTTTCACACCCCACAGGGTTGCTCCAGGGTTAAAGATGTTTCTTTGATTATTTCACGCACCATCCACCAGGCAGGGGATTGACCTCTCATTGTCCGAGTTGGAGAAAAGGACGAGCTCTTTGTTGACAAAGTCGTTGTAGGAGAGAGAGCTAGTGGACTGGCCATACAGGTAGTCCTGTGAAGAGACGGCAAAACAAAGAATTTAACAGAAAGCAGCGATAAGGTATTAACACAAAGTGAACTCATTGTTGGGACGTTACCTCCGGCAGGTTGTGCTCCCTGCGCTGGCGCCTGTTTACCATGAAGTTCGTCAGCCACTCCTTTCTCTCGTCCACTTTCTTCTTGCTAAAGGCCTTCGTAAAGAAAAAAAAAAAAAAAGAATCACTTACCTAACCTATAATAATAATAATCTTTATTCATAGAGCACTTTTCAAAAACAAGTTACAAAGTGCTTTACAAGGACAGCAAATATAAAAACAGGCAGGTCATAGAATAAGAAACAAGGCAAGATTAAGGAATAAAAATCACTTTAAGATGTAAAATCCCTTTTAAAAAGAACTGTAAAAATACATATAATTCTTTTAAAGGAATTCTAAGAAGTGAAAATAGTAACAATTTAAAATCAACAAAAATCAGGAAAGGCTCGCCGGAAAAAGTGTGTCTTAAGAAGGGACTTAAAAGAGATGAGCGATTCTGTCGACCTGATCTCCTCGGGCAGGTCATTCCAGAGTCTTGGAGCCCTCACAAAAAATGCTCTATCCCTTTTGTTTTTAATTTTGCATTTGGAACCACCAGGAGACCTCTGCCCGAGGATCTCAATGTGCGTGTGGGTTTGTAAGGTAGTAAAAGGTCTGATATACTAATAGATGAATTCTGATTTTTGATACAACATATGGTTATAAAAGGGTTAACATGACAGCACAATGTCTGATACATTTCATTTTAAATTTGACATGATCGAGCCAAACTGAGGGGTGAAATCTTACAAGGGTGATAGCCTCATCGTCTTCAGGGCCGCCGTACTTGAATGGGATTCGGTGTCTCTCCATATCAGAGAAGTACTCCTTGGCTTCCTGCGATGTGCTGGTTCCCAAACCTGGAAACAAAGGGAAGAAACTCTGTTAGATATAGCACTAAAATAAACCTTGACACTACCGTGACATTAACCACATATGAAGGGCTGCTTACTTGTCAGTCTTACTACCACACAGGGGTTTAAAACAAACCTTTGTAGTATTTTATTTTCCAAGATTTGATGTTGGACACGGTAGCCTTCCATTCATCGAATTCAGGGATACTGTAGAAGGACATGTGAGTTTTCTTGAAAGTCACCTAAAGAGCAGGAAAATAATAAGAAAATGTTGAATCACTATTAACAAAGGTGACAAATTTAAGTTTAGAATATGACAACCATCAGATTGGGATCATGAAAAGTGTTATTTGTATATAAATTGCAGAAATATTGTAAAAACAAGAAACCACCAGCACTACTTAGGTTTTGACAGCAGATGGTAGTGTTGTTGTTGTTGATTACTCATCAGCTGGCAAACACATTTATTCCACATTTGTCGCTCATTCCCCAAATCATTTTACCACTCTCCGTACTTTTTCCACCAATCACTTGTCAACCACAGGTTAACTACCTACCAAGTCCTTTAAAGACATACCTTGATGATGGGAGTGATGAACTCTTCCAGGAAGTTGTGGCGCAGCAAAGACGGCCAGTTATGGTGGATGAAGTTGATCAGCAGGCCTTTAATGTGGGAGCCATCTTGATCCTGAGGTAATAATATATAAATAAAGTCAAATTGATTCAAAGTCATCTATTTATGATTGATATCACTTCAACTGCACAAAGAGTGGAATACAAAATGACTTGGAAATGTGAAGTAAATTAATGACAAGAAGAAGTCCAAGATGACAAATGATCAGATGGAACTGCTGGCACACCTGATCTGTCATGATCATGAGCTTGCCATAACGCAGAGACTTAAGGGATTCGGGGTCGCTGTAGTTCTTCTTGTATTGAAGGCCAAGGATTTTAATGACGTTGTTGATTTCAGCATTCTCCATGATCTAATGAGGAAGACAAACACGTTTCAATCTGATGATGCTTAGCACGGTTTCTCATATTCAACCCATTGTTATGTTTATTCATCTTAATTTTTTACAAAACTACAAATGTATCCATGAAATGTCTACAGGTCTAATGCTTGAACATACAGCTGGGTCTAACCTGTTTGAGTGAGGCCTCCCTCACGTTCAGCATTTTTCCTCTGAGAGGGAAGACACCATAGCGGTCCCTTCCCACCACTCCCAAGCCAGACACAGCGAGTGTCTTGGCTGAGTCTCCCTCAGTGAGGATCAGTGTGCAGCCAATGGAATTCTTCCCACCTGCCAGAATACATATTAACTTCAGGATTAGGGAAACTAATAAGGCTTTTAAAAAAAAAAAAAAAAAAGAGGTTTGTACACAGTACCTGCTTCATTGGCATCATCCAATTTAGGCACCCCTTTGACTCTTGTGTGTTTAACAGCTGAGCATTTCTTGTTGAGCTGGGACTGAGCCTTGAACTTTACCCAGTTCATGATGCTTTCCACAATCCCACAGGAAGTAGCCTTAAGGAAGTAGAAAATGCAGATTTATAAATGGAATCCGAGTGATGACACTTTTGAACATAATGAAGCAATGCCAGTGTAATTTTGATTAGCACCTGTTTCATGAACTTTTCACTCAGAGGACAAGTGGAGCCAAAGGTCTTCTGCTGCAGAGTCATGTTCTCTTTGGTCTGAGAGTCAAAGGTCGGGTTCTCAATCAGGCAGTTGACAAACAGCCACATGTGGTTCTTCACCTGGAGGCAGATGAGTGGAGCATACTCAGATGTGCAATAATGACAACAACGTTATCACATATTTGTATCACACACTCAGGTATGAGGTTACGATAGGATGACTGTACCTGGAAAGGCTTGACGGCCACTCCAGCTTTGTTCTTCTTCTTCACTATTTCAACGATCTTGCTGACCACCTGGTCACCCACATAGTCAACGTGCCTCCCTCCCTGAGGACAAACACAAGATCCCATTTACAGAATAAACGTCATAAGTCTTAATCACAGTGACACAAAGTGGCCGGGAGAGCAGCCAAACTTGTACTTAGCTGACAAAGGACCCTGGGCTACAAGCTTCATCCAGTCCTAAAAAATACATAGCTGCTCCAAGATTTAATTTTAAACATGGCTGACAACACAAGATAAATGGAAATTGGCGCCCAGTATTCCAGCACTTATACAATTAAATAATTGGTTGAGCAGAACATTCAAAATCCAAGCTCAATCATTCACTCTCTTACACTCATATATACACATTAAATGTATTATAAACTATGTGATACACCTCAACATTACCTTGGTCGTGGCAATACTGTTGACAAAGCTGACTTGATTGAAACCTTTCTCACTCATGGTGAGGCAGACTTCCCAGCGCTCGTTGACAACCTCATGGACCACACTGAGGGGATTGCCAACCTCATCCACTTTGTCCTTCAAATACATGTCCACGTAGTTACGGAAACCTGTGATCTAGAACACAAGACGAGCGGTATTAATGATTGCATGATCACACCCCTGCAGACTTTTAAATGGTAAACGTTAATGAGTAGGCAAATAAAAGACTGAAGAAAATCACATTATGTGGTTATGCCATCCTGTATGTAACATGTATGTTCCCAAATACCAAATCAACACTTTGTAAAATCTAAACTGTGAGAATATCCTTATTTATATGTAGCTGCTCAAAAGCTTTAAAATATATTTTATGAAAGAGACTGAAATCCTCAAGACATCTCTTTTAAAACTGACTCATAATGTTTAAAAGAGAAATTCAACATGTTCTTATTTGGTAAAGGATAGCTGATGGAAAGGTGTTTGACAGACAGAAACAGACCAAAAAGGGGGAAACAAGGAAGTGAAACAACAGTAACTTACTGGCAGCTTCTTGCCATTGAAGTACACACAGACACCCTTAGAGGCTCCGGCAATGTCGTAAGCTCTCCTAGTCATCAGAGCCACCGTGTCTTTGTCCAGGATGGTCATTTTAAATTTGGGCAGGTCAGGCTTGAAGGTGATGCAAGTAAATTCCTCTTTGCCAAAGGGAGTGATTTTAGGCTCCTCTGTCCTAGCCATGTTGTCATACCAGGTCTAGGAAAAACAAGGATGTGCTTTAAAAAGGACATTTCCCCATTTACATATTACAATGAAAAACACAAGAACTAAATTGGGTTTTACATCCTTCATACCTGCTTGAAGTTTCTCTTTGACTCTTTACAGGCGGTCTCTACAGTGAACTTTGTGCTAAAGATGTTGCACAGCTTAGCGCCGTATCCATTGCGACCACCTGAAGAACAAATTTTTGAGTTAAACACGGCTGCTACTTCTTTATACAAACCACTAAATGTTCATAGTTTGCAAAACTTGCATTATGTGTTTTTTGTGGAGTCTAGATTGCGATATGTTTTTATTCATTATATAATTATTAATCCCTACTAAATATATTTCAGTTTAATTTGTAATATTTTAACTTCCCATTTTAGTCCCCCTGTTAGACTCTTAAGGAGATTTATTTTATGCGATTCATTGGTGAGATACTGAAAGTTACCAAAACTAGAAAAATAAAACATTGGTGGAAAAAAAAGAAAAGATTTTCATTCAAAGTCATTCATTGATATAATGGTATATAAAAAGGTATAAAACAAAATAGGTGTCAGATTTTCTAGAATCATTCCAGTCTCACCAGTGACTTTCTTCTGGTCATCATCGTAGTTACTGGAGGTGAGCAGCTGTCCAAAGATGAGAGCAGGCACAAACACCTTCTCCACCTGGTGCAAAACCACAGGAATACCCTTCCCGTTGTTCCACACACTGATGGTGTTGTTTTCACTGAAAGGAAAAACACACACACATTTAATGATGTGCCACTGTGATACTAAAGAGAGCAGTTGACCTTGAAATGAGATGGGGCTATGAGTTAAGACATTTCTAAGAATGGAGATGTTAGATTAGTTCATATTTGACATTACTCACACATCAATGTTGATCTTAATGCAGGACATCCTTTTATCCCTCTGCTTGTTGTCAGCTGCATTTACTGGAAAGATAAAAGAAAAACTGAAATTAGTTGATGTCAATAGTAATGAGGACCAAAAATGTCTCATCACATTAAGATTATTTACTCACCGAGGATCTCGTCAAAAATCTTGTAAAGCCCAGGAACAAATGTCACATCACGGCAGTTCAGTTCAGCCTCCTCTTCATCATACACCCACATTTGCTGAGGAGAGAGAACTAGTTACTTCCAAGACCTAGCATAAATGTGTTAAGTTCAAACCATTAATATGTTGTTTGTCGATTTAACATCTTGCACCTGCGCAATAGGTTCAATATTCTTTAGAAAATACCTCAAATGGTCCACCCACATGAAGTGCTTTGAGATGAACCCAAGGATGTAAATCAATAAAGGTTTATGATAGAGACCATCAGTTACAAAGGCTCAAACATTGCTCAGTGACTTCCTACCTGGGTGACAGGCTCAACAGAGCCGATGTAGGAGTCCGGCCGGAGCAGAATGTGCTCCAACTGCGTCTTCTTTTGATAGATCCTTTCCACTGACAACCTTTTCGGATCTTTCTTCGTCTTTTCCACAGGCTTGTTTTCAAAGAAGGACTGTTGACAGTGACAGAGGATTTTCTTTTAGGTGAATTTCCATGTGTTGCAGTCATCACTAAAGAAGGTTTCCCTTTTGTGTTTTATTGATCTTGTTTAGACTGACCGACAAAATCTGCAAATATTACTGGCAGAATGAATGTAATAATATGTGCATGTGGTACCCAAAAGTGATTAAGAAAACATTTGATTGTATTGCTACGGGATTTAAAACACAGACATTATACATTTTAACAATTTAAGTAACAAAAGACGCTCTTATCATCGACGATAAATAGAAATATCAAAATTGTCACAATGAGTGAAATCCCTCAATCGACGTTACCGTTTGTCCCAAATGCATGCAAGTTTTTTTGTTATAGGAAGAGATTTTTAAACACTGTTGAGGGAGACTGTTAGCAAACTGGCTAATGGTTATGGATCATAACATCGACATGGTTTCTAATGATGCGCCGTGTGCCCTGAAGGGAAGTTATTTCGTACAATATTTACAGACTATGCTTCAACACCGTTTTATCGACAAATGTGTGTATCTGCATTTTAACATCACATGCAGAGATGTCATTAAAGTAGATATATGTGACTATGTAAGCTAACTAATTTTAGCCATTGCTAAGTCTCATTGTATGATTAGCAATAGCAAGGAAAAACTTTCCGGAGATAAAGGATATCGAAGTAACAACTTTACCTTCAGTGGTTCGGCCATTTTTCTTCTATTTACTGCAAAAACCCGCAGTTACTTATTAAAAGTGTATTGCTAACGCTAGCTAAACAACTCCCTCCTCGCGCTGCACTGAAACGTTTCGTGGTCGAAAATTCAAAGCTTGGAGGAAACCGCTCCCGCCAGCTTCACCGACCAATCAAGCGGGGGGGGGGGGTTCTTCTTCGCTTTCTTTTGCGTCATGGTGGGTGGCATTCAGGGAATTGACGAGGCTTACAGCCATCTACTGTACCGGAGTAAGACATATTTTATTACATATTTGTCTTAAAACTATTAAAATGAGATGGATTCCTAAATACTTAATAGAACATTGTTACGGAGTATCTTCTAAAAAAGGCTGATCCTTGAATCGTTATTTTGCTCATTTAGAGATGAGTAGGCCTATTACTTATTTAATTTTTTAAAGATAAGATAAGATAATCCTTTATTTATCCCACAACGGGGAAATTTACATTGTTACAGCAACAAAGAGCAAAGATTGCAAACAAAAAGTGAACACAGTACAATTTAAATAAAAAATAAAAATTAAGAATGTATAAAAATAGATTCTAAAAAATAGATTTAAAAAATAAAAAATAAAATAAAATACAAATAAAATAAAAAATAAGATTAAAATAAAATAAAATAAAATAAAATAAAATAAAATAAAATAAAATAAAATAAAATAAAATAAAATAAATCTAAAGTATAATAATAAAAAATAAAAAATGCTCATACAGGCTAACCACACAATGATGATGCACTTCATACCACACACGCACAAATACTACATATCTTTTCAAAATCATAAACTAAACCTTTTCTCATAACAGCTGCTGTTAATTACTGAATTTGAACACATGCAAATCTATACTTAGTAGGCCTACTTGTTTAATATATGGTGTTGTCAGAGAGTAAAAGTGTATTTTTTTTGCCATACTGCAGCACACAGAAAACAAAGAGTTGTGCTGACTTTGAGCTTTGAGAGGATTATTGGGTGAGAAATGTTGGAATCTTAGCCCCCCTGGGGCCCATGCATAAAAAGGATTCACTTTCCTCACAGTTCAGTGGATATTGATGTTAACACCTTTTAGCCTGAGAGTCAGCACAATAACCTTAGAGCCATTGTTTCATTTACTGCACTGTATACTGTACATGCACACTGTTACATAGCCTAGGTTGAAAGTCTGCACACAAAAAACACTTCAGAAGTTTAAGCTTTCCTTTAAGAGCATCTTAAGCTCAAAATGTAGCCATTTCCGTAAAGTCCTTATCACATTGATGATTAGATTGTGCCTCACATAATGATAAGCCCCCCCCATTCACTTTTTGCATCATTAGACAATCAGCAATGAAATTGATATAGTTCAAAATACAGTTTACTGCACACTGACTGTATGTAGGATGCTTCTGGTTTAACATGAGATCTGTTCAGTTGGCCCCGCCCCTTAAAAAAATGTATTGGAGATTGTGTCCAAGAGAATTGGGAATGGGGGGGCCAGTGATTCTAAATTAGACGGGATCTTTTGAATCTAATAAACGCACAAAAGAAAGACTTTTAGAAAATGGTCTTTGTAATGTGTTTTTGGGGAGTGTATTTTCCCTAAAGTGTTCACTTCAATTATCCCTCATTCATCAATATTCTCTCTCCCCCTCATTTCCTCCAATCTCTCTGTCACACATGCACACACTCTGCACTGTATGATAACAGCCTGAAAGCGTTGTAGTGGTTAATGGGCTTATCTCCCCAGAAGTGTGCTGTTATAATTTCATGATAGCCCTCAGCCGATGTGTATTTGGAGCTTTGTATTATTATGCAGAGCTTTGCTATGTGTCGCAGAAGACTCAGAAGAACAGGATTTATCAAAGCACTTCAGAGAAAAAGAGATCTGATTCAATACTGAACACAAGCCCTAACATTTCCAGTGTGGTGGTTATCAGTCAATGGAAATGCAGTAACCTGATTTGTCCGGCCGCTTCAGCATTCTTATCTGTCTTCCTCTGCTATGCTGCCCACTCTCCTGACCTTGGCATGATAATAATAGGGCTGAGAAGCTCGAGCTGCAGTCCAGCAAATGTAGTGGAGTGAATGCACACAAATACACCCACAGCTGCACACATGAATGAAGGTGAAACTGTTTGTTTTTGCACTTGGCATCTTCGGCAGGAAAGAATGATTGATCTCTTTTCAGAAAAATAAAAAAATGAAAAAATATATTTTTCACACATACAGTAAGGGATTGGCTTGGCTAGCTTGGAACATTTTGGAGTCCTCTGTACCTGACAAAGAAAACCATTTAAGCTCAAAAAATACTTTGAGTCATGATCCCGAGCAGTGTTGAGAGTTTATAAGATATGCACCTTTTCTTCTGAAAAAGACAAAAACAAACAAACTTTCATTATAGATTACAGTACATTAGATTATATCTAATATATTATGAAATATACAAAGCTGCAAGGCTAAACATGATCTAAAAGAATGAGCAAAGTCAGATGTGAAACTATCAAACTATTTTAAAAACTTAACCAAATATAAGTTAGGCTACATGATATTTTCGGGAAATACATTTTGGGAACTTATAGCCTCTGCAAGGAGATCAGTAGGTCCATTTGAATTCAAAGAACAAAATAACTTTCAGTTTAGCTAAACATAAAGATAGAAGGGAGGACTAAGCTATCTTAGCTCTGTCCAAAGGATACAAACTCACCCTTTTAGAGTTTCAAAAGCTATTCTAGCATTTTGTGTGTCCTTTGTTTAATTTCTACAACAACTCATGTGAAACCAACAATTTAAGGTATTATCTAACTTCTGAAGGGGTCTCAACCTTTGTTGCTTTATCTACAAGCTGTCAGTCAGTAATCCAAGCAAGCTAGCTTTATCCTATACATGGCTTAATATTTAACAGACAGATATGAGAGTTAAATGCCTTTAAATATGATTTCTTTTTTAAAAATGTAGTTCTGTAATATTAAAAATGTGAACTTAAGAAAGACTGATGTTATTAGTTTGGTGTAGCCCAGGGGTTCCCAAACTATGTGATGCCATATAGCTTTAGTCTCTGGCAGGACCCCCTTCTTGTGAAATGTCTTTAACTCCTTGTGTATTACTATGGCAAATAAAAAAATTAACGTACATTTTTTAATTTATTTCTTAATACTGTAATCCATTTTATTCAATTACCTAATTGTAAACAGTCTTCTATGATTTCTGTTTTAACAATAACCAACAGCAATAGTATCCTAAAAGTAAAGTTTTTAATCTCTCTTTTTATTCATTCATTCAATATGTCTTTCTTCTGTTAACAGTCTTTGTGATTCCGTCTTAACAATACTATTTCACTTCCAGTTTAAGAAAATGAAGCTAGCAAGTTTTCAATACAGCAACTTGATGATGTCAGAGTCATTGATAGTGGACGTTGGGTTCTGATTGGCTACAGTGGGCTGTGTTATATTTTTAAACCGAAAGATTGGCATAGAAAAAAAAACACAAAGATGTCTACACACAATGATTAATTACATCTAAAAAGAAATGTATAAATACGTTATTGTTATCAAATCATATTATTAGCTGGTTTATAATTTTTTCTAATCCCCCCTCCCTTCCCTCCAAGTTTCTGAAGACCCTGTGTCAACCCTGGGGTCAATACCCCCACTTTAAAAATAATGGTTTAGCTGATATAATGTGGATGTGGAGAAATTAACAGGGGAGTAATTAAAGGTTTTCTACATGTTGTGTGTTTTTATTTTTTTCTAATATATTTAGGCCTACTTAGTAGATAATTTACATTTTTGGTTGTATGCCATTTCCATTGGAATTGCTATTTTAACCATGTGACGCAAACACAGACACAGACGTCCTCTTATAGAGGGCAGTTTGAAACAGGGAATACTAAGTACTTAACATCCAAAAATAGTAACCCATCTAAAACTATTGAGAGATGTTAGCATAGTAGATGGACACCCTCGCTCCAACTGCCACCTGCCTTCCTGTTTATTTATTGATGGGCCTGTGTTTTCTGTCTGTTAGGGAAGTGGGGAAGAAGAGACTCGATGTGTCGTCAAAATATTATTTGGCAGACTACATAGATAAAGGTTATTGTAACTTTTGTCTCTCTTTGCAACAAATACTGCCAAAATGTAGAACTATATGAGTTGATTATCAAAGCTCTTGAAGGTAAATGTTAAAATATTGTAAAGCAGAAATAGTGGGTTATTAGAAGTATAAATTCTAAATTCCATATATGTAGCTCTAATGTAGGATTACCCTTAATGAAATCATCAAACATTTTGGGGAAACATTCATTTTAGGAGACGCGTGAAAACATGACTGTATGAAGCTACATGCAGAGGAAAGTTATATTAACAGGAAGACTTGAACCTTCAATTTGTTCTGAACTGTGTCATAATTTAAAGTGGGGCTTTAACAAAACAAAACAAAACATATATAAAGCTTTTCTTTGAGTAAATTCACTATTTATAGTGTGTTCGCTTAAGTGAATTCCCTTGAGTTCACCGCATTGTTTCTGAGTAATTAATTCAGAGAAACAACCAGCCCAATTTCTCTCCGTGGGTGTTTGATGATTGACTGAAAGAAGAGGATGAGGAGTGTAATGTTGGTTCTGATAATAAAACATTCAACTATTGAAAAGAAAATAGAGAAGAGGAACCTTTAAATGCTGGAATTACAACATTGTGTTCATTGTTGGTATTCTAGCTCTGGCTATTTCCTGCGGTGTGATGGATGAAATAAATGTTGAAGATTGAAAATATCTCAGATGCTTGAACAGTAAAGTGAGGGAGTTTATAACTGGTACAGTTCATCTCTAACACTTAAAGCACTGAAATATGTTTTTATTCCCTCAGCTTGCAGGGTCATGTTTAGAGCATCACATTTCAAGCAGAGTCGTCAGGGTTTCATAGATTGACCTTTAAGGTAAACACCCCTCCCTGGCTGTCATTGTGAATGTGTCTGAGAAACACAATGAAGGACTAAGAATTATTAATTACTTGTAAAGGTTAGTGGAAAAAAGCTTCTACAACCTTTGTCCTGTGTTGGCAGGCAACTACAGCAACTTAACATTTAAGATGCCTTACAGACAGCGGTGCCGCTTAATTGGTTGAATGTTTTTACCTC